CTTGGGGGCTGATTCGGGGGGGCGTGGCATACCCATTTGGCGGCGCCCGTACAAGGGTACAATTGCATACGTGAATTTTCACCACGTTTGAATGTTGTGCAAATTTCCGTGCCTTTTCGAGCATGCTGCAGCCGCCAAATATGCAGTCGAAGAGGCAGAAAATAATAATAAGAATTCCTTCAATTACAATAAGGCCTAAAAAGTTTAAAACTCTCCTGTCCCACCAAATCAGACCACCTGATGATTGTTTGATCCCTGTCTTACCTGACCACCATGAGCTGGTACTTGTTGGCGTAGTGCAGCGCCATGTCAGCCACTTTCCCTCCAGTCACCACCACGTTGGCACCGGCCTCCTTGATGGCCTTCACCTGAGCCTCCATCATATCCTCCTCTCCCTTACTGAAGTCCATGAGCTCCTTTGCATTATTTATCAGCACTGTGCCCTGTAAGACAGATAGCCTATTGTTAGCATCAAGATCAGTACCTTTGCAGGGTCGAGTGTAACGCCACAACTTTAGAAACCTCTGACAATAGCCCAGAGCCCCTTTTCACGGCAGATATTTTGCCTTATCATAATAATAAAAGCACAGATGTTACTAATAACATTACTGATCCGTGTTATGAAAATGTACACAGTAAGTCGGTAACAATAATAGCACAACAGTGGGCCAGCAACCAGGACACTGAAACTGAAGCAGCTAAATGTAGTTCAGCCATCATTCACTTTATTATTTACACATGGGCTTTTCCTGCAGTGACATTTACATACATATATATTAAAAAGAGTCTTTTATAGGTCATTTCAAGCAAATTATATCCTTAAAACTAACTTACAAATGTGGTCTATATAATAGATCTTAAAACAGTTAGAGGAGTACAACTTGTGTCTCTTGTGAAATGCATCATGTTTTCATACCTGGCCAAACTTGATGGGAAAACCAGACTGTTAGTACATTAATGTCAGTTTTTGTTGGTAATTTTTTTTCTAAAGCAACAAGTGCAGTAAAAGAGAGACGGAAGTATTACCTTGGTCTCTGTCACCATGCAGTCAAAGGGGCAGGAGTAGACCGCGATCTTGGCGTCTTTAACTGATGTGACGTCTCCCTCTGCCTCCTTCTTAAAAACCATACCATGTAGCATGGTAGATGCTGTCACCCCACAACCCTGAAAACACCACAGACATTAAGTTAGAGGCGGACAACACACACATACATATAATATATTCAATGGATAATGCTGCTTACCAAAATCTTGCATACTCTGACGCTATCAACATTGAAATTGCCCGACTCTGGGAAAATGGACACTGTAGCAAAAGACAGTAAAATAAAGAAACTCATGATTAATGCTACCATCAAGTTAATCGTCTTTAACAGCCCTGGGCTGCTTTAGGTAGCCTGGATCGCTGACTCACCACAGGCCTGTGCGATGAGGTTGGCGAGGAAGTCTTCGTTGCCGTACTGTTTACTGATAACTGCCGTGCGGATGAGCGACGTCGCCTCATTGAGGTCATGGAGGTTCTTGGCTGAGGAACATACGCAGTCTGGCAGGATCTCCAGAGCCTTTTTACATGCTTTCTCATAGCCGTCAATCACCTGTGGCAAAGAGGAAAGGGGAAACTGAGCATATGCATTCACTTCTTTTGTTTCTGCAGACACCAATATCATGTATAAAAGCACACAAGTGGGTTTTAATAGGGGGTTAACATTTAACAGTACTCAAAGAGGAACAAAAAAAGTTCTCTTCACAAGACAAGTGCGCCTGCAAAACATTGCCAAAGGGCATAATGTGGGCAGAGAAGTAAATGAATACAGTATTTCTTTCTTTTCCATTATATCATCACACATCTATACAACACAACATGCATGCTGATGATCAGGGACTTCATTTGTTTACCTCTGACACAGACAGGCCCATCCTGAGGAGCTCTTCAGCCAGCTCCAGCAGAGCGCCCGCAAACACCAGGACAAAGTTGGTACCGTCTCCAACCTCCTGCTCCTGCATGTGGGACGCCATCACAATCATTTTGGCTGCTGGGTGCTGCACCTATAGAACAAAAATGACATCCATAGTTACAGCAGTTATTTTCCCTCGTTTATAAATAATTCCTGTCTGCAGAACATTTGCGGAAAAGTGTTCCAGTTCCTCACCTCCAGCTCTCTGAGAATAGTTGCAGCGTCATTGGTGACAAACAGCTTCTCCAAGTGGTTGATGACCATTTTGTTCATACCTGAAAGGCAGAAAGTGTTAGTCTTGCCATGATATGTTTTAACAGGTCAAAGCAGGAACAAAGACTTCATACAAATCTAACTGCTGGAGTGAGAGTGCTTACCGTTTGGCCCATAGGCGGTGCGTGTGGTCTGAGAAAGCTCCTTACAAGCTCTGATGTTACGATAGACTGCCTCTTCCAGCCCTGAATAGTGCTGCATCAGAGAACACAAGTTAACTGCTGTGACTTCTCAAGAGAGGTGCATTACATTTCATTAGCAGCCATGTCAGACAAAAAGCTAACTGAAAGCAAATCCCATCAAAAGATTTTAATTTACCAGCAATATTCTATTAAAATGAGCTTTAAATCAACATTATTAAACAGTAGACAGTAAGCAGGGACAATTTAATTAACACCACTAAGATGTAAGACAGGCTAAAGCATAAAAATACCCAATCCAACCCAAAACAGGAAGCATCAGCATCTCAGAGCGGCCAGACACAACCGAGATGACAATCAGAAAAGCCCTGAGCTCTGACAGTGAGCTGGACGCTGCCTGGGTGTGACTGCTGTCGGCATTGAGTTATCACACGACACTACAGCAGACACATACACCATTAAGTGCTATGGTGGACCCTGAAGGGACCCAGAAACAGGCCTTTTGCCCCGGGTGCAGTGGCTGCGAGCGGCCTGCTGCTTTCTAGAAGTCTCCCACATGAGTGTGCGCTAACGCTACCTAGCGTGCTAGCTCACAAGCGCACAGAGTCGCCCCTCTGCGCTGAACGCGAACATTTCGCCTCACCTTGGCGCCATCCTTCAACATTTGGGCAAAGCCCGGAGCTTTTGGTACGTGGAGAGCCATTTTCCGATGTTTAGCAGCCCCGGTATGGTAGAGAAGGTAGCCGCGGCGTGGGTTCAGCTCTGGGTACAAAGCCGGAGAGACAGAGGAGGAGCGATATGAGCGAGGCGTGGGGCTCAGCACGGGTAGCAGCAAGGGACAGACTGAGCGACTCGCGTTTCACCTGCAGTGACGGCAGCGACTCGCCACTTGGGGGAACTGTTGCCTTTTTTGGTTATATGGCTGTATCTAAAGCAGGACATACGTTTGTGATGACTTCAGTCCAACAATTTAACTTTACTACAACTTATATACTTTAGATCTAATATTTACTTATAAAAGAAGTGAAACTATATGTCGTTATTACCACGTTTGTGAATACTCTTAGGTTTAAAAATGTACTGTAATTAAACACATGGCGGGAGTTCTGCTGGAAAAATATAACAAGATCACACCCATTCAAAAACGTCCATCAAGGTAAACGGGACGGGGCTTGTTTTGGAGGACTCCTGTTGGGTCTGAATGGAAGCCAAACCACTCCATATTTTTTGGACTGCCAAAGCATAAAACCCTGACGGGAAGAGATCCACCAAACATATTAAAAAATATATTTACGTGAACATTCCATTGAAATGTGAAACTATGTTTTTGGGTAATATAATGTTTGAAACATGGAACATAAAAGACAAAAAACTGCTGACTATATTTTGCAGCTAGTAAGAATGTCACTTAGTTAAATGGTTAAAAGTGGAACCTCCCACCATCGACGAATGGATTGAAATTGTTTATGAGATTTATGTTATATTATCTTTTTTTTTTTTTTTTATTGATAGCATGTAGGGGTGCGCTCCCCGGTTCTGTTGTTTTTGTGTTATTGCTTCCACCTGGAATAGTTTGGGTCCGTGGGAGAAAGCTCCAGAAGGGCAGTATGGACAGAATCACTGTGTCCTTGACAGACTGAGTTAATGTAAGTGTATAATGGTATATGTGATGGAGATGTGCCTTTCTGAATAAAAAGAGAATTTAAAAAAAATAAATAAATAAATAAAAAAGTACTGTAATTAAAGTAAATACGCACTATACGTACAGTAATATAAGGAAGTATAAAAAGTAAAAGTACTCATTATGCAGAACGGACAGTGTTAGATTATATATTTGAAGTTATAAATGTTAAACTACTGGATTACTAGAGGCATGTGACATTATTGATTATTGTACGTATGTGTGTGTATATAAAACATAAACATTTTAAACTTAGGGGGAAAAAAGGACTAAAGGATGTGTTGTTGCAAAAGTATTCATTGGAATTCAAACAAGAAGTGAAACATATGGTAACAGTAAGAATTACACAAACAAGCAAAGAATGTCACATTATTTTTCAGTTTCTAAATCTACATTTAACTCACATTTGTATGATTCTGTGAAATATTGCAATGGTGTAAAACGTTCACTGCATGATCTGAGGATCTAGTTCTGGCAGTGTAATCAATATGGACATGCTGAATAATAAGAGCAATACCCTCCACATCATTTAATAGAGACATTATAGACACTATAATAGCAAGAGTGACATTAGCAATCAAAGGCGTTACAAACAATCAAATGTAAAAAAAAAAAGACAAGACTTTTGGGTCGTTGAAGCTTATAGTTTTATTTTGTTTTTCACATTTAGGCACATTGTCTGCCTTTCTCCCATTAGTGTAGAGAAGGCGGTAGCAATACACTGAAATGACAGAGAGGACGGTTTTGCTTCATTGGAGGCTGTTTGTTTGACAGTCACTACACTTTATAACATCATTATTGTTACCATCAGGTTTTTCCCTATCACATTATCAAGTGATTTATGTGTACAGTATTGGTGCATAAATCATTCACAGGCCATTAAAAGTGCCAACCTCTGCCTAAAGGAAAGATATGAAAAAAAAGAGGGAAAGAAATTGCAATCAATTCCTGCCTAAGCTATATATAAAAAAAGTCCCCTTTCATAGAAAATATAAGTCATAATTTGGTATAATCAAATGACATTTATAAAAACTCATAACAAATGTTAGTAACATTATTGCATACACTTAAATAGAGGGAAATGTATCTCCCTCCGTCTGTATATTTAGCGTTAGTTCTGCAGATACAATTTTGGTCTCGTGCAGAGTTTCTTTTAAAGTAAATTCCAGAAACTAGGAAAAAGTTTCTCTGCCGAGTTAGAATATAAAACTACAAAATTAGTATTTTGAAAATGTAACTAAGACATTTGGTTGTAGCAGCTATCCATACAACACAATACAAAAATCCCTTTGGCAGCTACAGTAAAGATATTTTACCCACAACTAGCTAACCTGAGACGTGTAAACACACAAGAAAAATACTTTCTAAATACACACAGTATAGATAAAAAAAGAAGACAAGCTGCCGTATAATAGTCTCCCAGTATCATGGCAACACTACATGTAACAGTAATACCTCAATAATGATAAATGTGAAACATTACAAAAAGGTCCTGTGTTTTACATACACACAAGCATGTAGTTCAGTTGGGTTTGCGAACAGTGTTCACAGCTGTGTGGGCCCAACCTCCCAGTGTGTTTGAGAGGTGCTCAGCCCGACGTGTGAGGTTTGAGCGACTGAGTTTACCGCTGGGGTCCAACTTTCTCATCACTGCTCCTCCAGAACTTTCCCTTGTACTGGTTCTGCAGAGAGAGAACAACCATTACTGCAGAAAGCATAAACACAGGGAGAGCAAGTAATGAAAGTGTCCCGGGTTTAAGACTTTACAACAGTATCGATGCCAATCAGAAATGGAAAATAGGACCAGATTAATCATTAATTCCTCTTTGTTTTATGGAAGATGTATAAAAATGTAACTGTTGTTATTTTTCTCTCATTTTTGTTTGTTACTATTAACATTAAGGACTTTAAGCTGCATTTCAATTTGCCATATTATATTATCATTTTCAAAATGAGAAAATGAAAGCAATTTGGACCCAACAGGAAACAATGTTTTTTTTTAAAACTAGAAACCAGATTTTTTTTGTCTTCTAAAACAGAAGACTATCAGTTCTTATTTAAGAACTGATAGGGCGACAGAAAATGAGTCAATATGTAAAGCAAAGGGTAGTAACAGAAGATGGAAGTGTGAGTCTGATAGAGAAGAAGAGCATGTCTTGCTTGGGCAAGTTATTAATCAGTCACAAAAGAGCAGCTTTTCATTGCATCAGGCCAGAGACTCACAATTTCACACGTCCATGCATAGACAAGCACACCGGGCGAGCTCAACATGCGCTTTCATGTCAAAAAATTAGTCACACTTCAAGCATATTTCCACAACATGTGGTTGTAGAAGCAGAATGTTTTGAGATTTTAATTTACCTTCTTCTCTACTCCACAATTAGGGAATAGTTGAACTGCCTGTCGTAAGAGGAAAACAAACTTGTGTTCAAATTCCCAAAGTACGAGCTCCTCAGACAGTGAGGAAAGCAGTCGGCTGCATGTAATGCACGCGGATAACGGACAGGGTCACCGCCCATGTGCATTTCTGCTTTTCAACGTGTATCTCATTCCAGACCATGATTCATTTTGAATGTCAACACAGGAAGTGATGCAAATATAATCCAAGCTCTCTCAAGCATATTTGTCATTTCATCTGGCTCCAATTCCCACACCCATACTCTCTCCCTCCCCCCCTTACTCCCTCCTCATCCGAATACCAGAAACATAGACCCAGTTTCAAACCGACCCGGGAAGAATGTGTGTGTGTGTGGGGGGAGGGGAAGGAAAGTCAAGGGCCTCTCAAACGGGGATGTAGAGTGGGATTCTTTGGGTTGGAGGGTGAAAAGGGCAGTCATGTGCCTCTGTGGTCTCCTCCATGTATGAAGAAGAGGAAATGGACTGATGGCGTCCTTGGATACACACAACACCCTTATTCATGTACAGCACACACACGCTTTCATTCACATATACAGAAAGTGTTTCACCCCTCACAACTAGAAATAAAAACACACAACATTTCTGACTAATAGTAAAATAAATAAAAAAAAAAAACTATTAAACACACGCCTAGTGATCAATACATTTAACCCAAAATGAAGACTTACCTGTTATCCCTGCCAATTATGTCATCAAAGGCCTTGGACAGATGTTTGAGCCTCTTGAGTCCACTGGACACGGACTCCAAATCTCGGTCAAACTTTCTGTTGTAGCAGAGAAAACCACAGAAATGGCAAAAATAACATCAGGAACAACAACTAGCAAAGCCACACATATATCAGCTGTGCAGGTGGTTATCAAGCCCTGATTATAAGGAGACTCACATCCTCTGGTTCTGTGTGTTGGGGGAGGCAAATGGACTCCGTAGTGCAGCCATGCGGACCAGATGCCTCCTGCCTCCTCCTGTTTTCACCCCCCGTACGCCAGCCTCCGGAGTCCTTCGTCCCCTAGAGCCTGGGGTACGCCCGGGTGTGACTGCAGATCTGGGGGTGCGTCTGGGTGTTGCAGCTCGGCCAGGCGTACGTCTCGGGGTGCGAGAAGTTGAAGGACCAGCTTCTTCCCCGTCACACGTCCGACCCGGGGTCTCTACCAAACACTCCTCGTGTGCAAACTCTCTGTGCCTCTGCATCCTCTGGGTAAGGGGGGAAAGGACACACGGGAAGAGAGAGATGGTGAGCAGGGAACAAGGGATGCACATGTAGGTTTGGGATTGCTAACTCAAATTGTTTAAGTTGTACCCAGATCTAGTTAAATCAAAATCACACCGATCCACCTACCTGATACACTCCACTGATGGAGTTGCGAGCACTGCGAGTGAGTTTGCGGACTGCGTTGGGTTTTGGTTGCTCCTTCTGGGCCTCCCAGGTCGGATTCTCTGGGAGGGAGTTGGTCTGGACAGAACGCAGCGGGAGCCGCTTGCGCAAAGACATCCGCAGAGAGTTGAGTGAAGACGAGGAGCGCAGCTTGCGGAAACGGTCTGGGGCTTCTGGAGAGCTCTCCGGCCCGTCAGACTCATCCAGGACTGTGTGTGCCCGCCAGACTCCCACCACAGCTCTACCAACTCCATCCATCACTGAAGACGCCATGGTGACTGAGCTTACCTGCAGAGAGGGAGGTGGGAACAGGACAGCAAAGTATGGATTATAATAATAACAATACTAAAAAACATTTTTAAGAGCAGATTTTTATATTTTTTTTTCAAAACAAACGTTTTAAGTGTTTTACTCAAGTATAAGGAAAATAAAAATAGTGCTGGACAACGACTCCAGATATGCATTTGGCAACAATTTTGATAATCACTTAATCATTTATCAAGCAAAAATGACTTTCTCT